AAAAAAAAAAAAAATGCAGAGAAACCGGGGGGCATAGCTCTCCCGGCCGCGAGGACCGCGAGCCTTTCCTGGGGGTCTTTGTAGGGAGGATGCTGTGTGTAGGTGCCAGGAGTCACAGACTCAGATGCTCCTTGCGTAAGAGATGAAAGTTGCCCGAGGGTCTGGCCCTCTCACCAGTGTGTCCCAGAGCCTGGTACAGTGTCTGGCACGTAGTAGGCTCTCAACAGTGTGTGTTGAATGACTGACTCTCTCAGCGAAAGCCAGTGGCCTAACACCCAGTGCAGTTCTAGAAAGTAGTTCTCCAAGGGGCCCGAGTGCTCTTTGCTGGCGTGGCTGACCGCGGGGTAGAGCGTGCACGTGCCTGGATGGACTCTTCCGTTCTCACCGAGAAGCAGACAAGTTTCTTGCTGGAAAAGTAGACCTTCCAAGCTTCTCCATTGTGATAACTTGTTCTCCTTTGTCTTCACAGAGACTAATAGACAAGTCACGCGTAACCTGCGTCCGATGGGTTCCCGGTTCGGAAAGCCTTTTCCTAGTAGCCCACGCGAGTGGGAGCATGTACTTGTATAACGTGGAGCACACTTGCGGCACCACAGCCCCCCACTACCAGCTTCTGAAGCAGGGCGAGAGCTTTGCCGTACACACTTGTAAGAGCAAATCCACGAGGAACCCTCTCCTTAAGTGGACAGTGGGCGAGGGGGCCCTCAACGAGTTTGCTTTCTCCCCAGATGGCAAGTTCTTGGCCTGCGTGAGCCAGGATGGGTTTCTGCGGGTGTTCAACTTCGACTCGGTGGAGTTGCACGGCACGATGAAGAGCTACTTCGGAGGCTTGCTGTGCGTGTGCTGGAGCCCCGACGGCAAGTACATCGTGACGGGCGGCGAGGACGATCTGGTGACCGTCTGGGCTTTCGGAGACTGCCGAGTGATCGCTCGGGGCCACGGGCACAAATCCTGGGTCAGTGTTGTGGCGTTTGACCCCTATACCACTAGCGTGGAAGAGAGCGACCCCATGGAGTTCAGTGGCAGTGACGAGGACTTCCAGGACCTCCTTCATTTTGGCCGAGACCGGGCCAACAGTACCCAGTCCCGGCTGTCCAAACGGAACTCTGCCGAGAGCCGCCCTGTCAGTGTGACGTACCGGTTCGGCTCGGTGGGCCAGGACACACAGCTCTGCCTCTGGGACCTCACGGAAGACATCCTTTTCCCTCACCAGCCCCTCTCGAGAGCAAGGACACACACCAACGTCATGAACGCCACGAGCCCTCCTGCCGGCAGCACAGGGAACAGTGTCGCGACGCCCGGCAACTCCGCGCCCCCGCCCCTGCCCCGCTCCAACAGCCTCCCCCACTCCGCCGTCTCCAGCGCCGGCAGCAAGAGCAGCGTGGCCGACGGCACCCTCGCTTCTGGGGTCAGCAAATTCGCGACGCTCTCCCTGCACGACCGGAAGGACAGGCACCACGAGAAAGACCACAAGCGAAACCACAGCATGGGACACATTTCTAGCAAGAGCAGCGACAAACTGAACCTGGTTACTAAAACCAAAACGGACCCAGCTAAAACCCTGGGGACGCCCCTGTGTCCTCGGATGGAAGACGTTCCCTTGTTAGAGCCGCTCATCTGTAAAAAGATAGCACATGAAAGACTGACTGTGTTAATTTTTCTCGAAGACTGTATAGTCACTGCTTGTCAGGAGGGATTTATTTGCACATGGGGAAGGCCTGGTAAAGTGGTAAGTTTTAACCCTTAATGCTGCACCAGATCTAGAACTTGAATAGGTAGTGATTTTTTTTCTTGCGGGAGGGTGGGGTGTACAATGAATGTGAATGGCACTTCTTACTCTTAATGTAAATCTAAATGCATCAGAGCCATAATTTTGGATACTGCATGCCATGTAATTCTGAATCATTTGATAATTCAACTTAGAACGTTTAAAAAAAAAATATAATCAAACTAATTGCCAGCCAAGTCAGTCACCCTCCTGGGAGTATATAGAGTCCCAAGGTTAGCGCTCCTGTATTAGACTATTTCGACTTTAGGAAAATCATGACAGTGTGGGGAAACAATGACTTTAAAATGCTAAAATTAAAATTTCTGCTTTAACTGGAATATTTTTGCTTAACTACTCAATTAGAATGTTGTACACCTGATCAGAGTGTGTGTTCAGTAATGGACGGCCATTAATTGTCATTTCTAGTCCAGTTTTTATCTTAATCATAAAATGTTTAGGAATCTATGAAATTTAACTTTAGGAACAAAGCATTCAGCAGGGTTGATTGATATTATTTTTACATTGTTCTGGCAATCCACAGAAAGAGAAGAGCCTTAATTTTTAAAACCCATTTTAGTCATTTTATGACAATTAAAATTGTTTAATAAACATCTTTTTTCAAAGAAGCAGTTTGTAGCACTTTGATTGAGATTCGGTGCACTGAATAAAATACCACCTTGCTCCGAGCCCGGCCAGCCCCCGGGAGCCGCGGGCCGAGGACACCAGCCCAGGTGTCAGAAGTGCCTCTTGCCACATAAGCCAAGACCTTTTATGTTGGATATGCTTTGCTTATGTTTTTTTCCAACAAGGGAAAGGTTTTGGTTCCTTTTGCGGTTTTCTGTGGGTTTTTTGTTTTTGTTGATGTTTTTGGTCAAACAAGCACGACTGTAGGCCCGGGACAGAGTCTTCGGCCTTGTTTTGTAAAGACTGACAGACACCCCCCACCCCCAGGTTCAGAGTGCTCCTGAGGTTGCCCTGGTTTGGGTTTTGTTTTCCCGCCCAGAGGGGAGGCACAGGTGCAGGTCGCCCCCTCTTACTACTGGGTGGCCGTTGTGATCCCGCCCACTCGGGCCCCGTCCTCACCGGCCTCCGGCAGGACTGCCGCACCCCTGGCCCTGGTGAGCGGCCGAGTGAGCCCCCTCTGGCTGGACGCCCAGCTGCGTCTGCGGGGGCCGGCGCGGTTCTCATGCCTGTGGTCCTTATTGGCTATGTGACGAGTTTCAAATTCCAGTTTCACGTGGGAGGAGATGGTTCTCTGACCTACATATTTTATGTCAAGATGATGGTTATCTTATTTGTTAACTTATTTTGGTCATTTTGGTTTGTTTTCTGTTTTGCACACCTTTGTCATTAAACGTAGAGATGCTGATCGTTTACACTCGTTTGAGTAGTGGATGCGAATCAGCAAAGTGGACACGAGACTCGTTTCTCTGCAGCGTGCAGCTCTGTGTGCTCAAACACAGCCCGCAGCCCTCCCGGAAGGCCGGACCCCGCTTCCCCGGGCCTGCTGCCCCCGCCCTCCCCCCAGCTCACTCTACCCACGCTGCTCCTTCCATGGGAGGGCTTTCTATTACTGATAGCAGTGTTCCACCACGTGAGGAGCGTGCTGGCCTTCCAGGTGCATCCC